CGCTCATCGCCACTGAGCACAGCACACTGACCTCCTTCCCCGCTCTCGTCGCCACGCCACCACGGCGCACGGGTCGCAGGCGCGCCAGCACCGGCACGCCCACCACGCCCGCCACCACCAGCGCCAGCAGGAGCACCGCCACGGCCTTGAGCCCCTTGGCGGCAGGAAGCTGCCCAGGACCCTCTGCGACGGCTTGCCCCCTCCCTGGCACCCGAAGCGACAGCACATGCGCTCGGCGAAGTTGTAGTAGCTGCACTCCTGGCACACCCATCCCACGGGCCCGCCTGAGCGACCTCCTCCACGCCCCTGTCCCGCGCCGCGCCCCATCGCGCGCAAGACACTGGAGGAGACGCGCCCGACTGCCAGAGCGCAAAGACTCTTGCCTGCCGCGGACTAGCGGTATCCGTGCGATCCCCTCGGGAACCTGGCATCTTGAGCCAAAATGGCTACGGAGAGGAGGAGGAAGAGGAGGGGAAAGAGGATGAGGAAGAGGAGGACGAGGAGGAGGAGGGAGGAGGGAATAACGTGGCCTTCTATTATCAGCACCCACCAGGCGTGGCGTTTAGCTGTCCGCAACAGATCCTCACCGACATGTTCCTTCTACCCGTCTTGTGCACGCAGGCCCTTTAATGTTCACCAGCGCTGCGTTGCACGCGGATGATGTGGTGCAGACAGGCGCACTAGTGTGCAAAGGCGCTGCGGTGCACGCAAGCACTGTGGTGAACACAGGCGCTGTGTTGCACATGGTTGCTGCGGTGTACACATTCGCTGTGGTGTACACACGCGCTGTGGTGCACGCGAGCTTTGTGGTGTACACAGGCGCTGCGTTGCACGCGGATGCTGTGGTGCAGACAGGCGCAGTGGTGTACACTCGCGTTGTGGTGCACGCGAGCACTGTGGTATACAGGCCTTGTCTGGCAGATCGCCACCTACATGCTGCTCGCGTCGTCGTCGTCGTCGCTCGTCGCTCATCGTCGTCGTGCGCGCGGGCGCGCCTGTGGTGCCGGAGCCACACGGCTGGGGGGGGGCGTTACGTCATACCCCCCCAACTCCCCTTCCCCCCATGACGCCCGTCATCGCCGGAAATAAACAAAACGGGCTCCAATCCCCTTCAGATCTCACCATTTCACCATCCCATTTGAGGATCTGCCCCTCGAGACCAAAAGGGAGAAGCTTATATTTCCACCTGGGGGGGCTTAAACGATGATGAAAGAGGTGCGCGAAAGTGCCCCGTCTGAAACGGTTTCCCCGCAGGTTCTGGCAGGCTTGAGTTGCATGGAGGGGAATAGGAGGGGGGGGGGCGAGGCCCAGGGAAAAGTCTGGACGTCACGGCCGGGACTCGATTCCACGTCCTTTCGACCCAAAGCAGCGTTGCTTGACAAGGCGCCAGAGGGGGGGGGGAACAGCCTCCGATTGCCCCCTCCCGCAGCAGCGCCCGAGCTTTGGATGTCGAGGAGGGGCTAGCTCTTGCGCAGCCTGGGCTGTGAATACAGCAGGAGAGACCTGCTCTCGAGTTTGGAGGGCACTCCCCCTCCGACGCGCTCGAAGAGAGGCGCTCGACGGGCGCGCTTTTCTTCCGCCCCCCCCCCCCCGTTTGCTGCTGCCCCCCCAATTGAGCAGCGCCCGGACTGCGGCCCAAGATCTACAGCGGCACCGAGATGGCCAGTCGCAAGAAACAGCCAATTCAAGTGGCTTCATGTAGAAACCGGCACAGTCGCAATCCTAGACCTCCGACGTTGTTATTTTTTCACGGCGTCGACCCCCAGAGGTCTGGACCCCTTCTCCAGGACTGGTTTTTCATCCCGAGTCGTCTTTTGACGCTCCTGGGGCCCGGTGAAGACCCCCAGGGGCCGAAAATAGCAAAAAACCTCCCGTCGTGATTCTTGCACAGCGCGAGGAGGTCTGGGATGCCCGTAACTCCGTATACCCCCATGGAGCAGCGCCCGAGCAGGAGCGCCCCCGCCGACGACGCCGGGACCGGCGCCAACGACCTCGTCGCGCCGGCGCTGCGCCTCCTCGGGCGGCTCCGGAGGTGCCTGCCGGAGGCGGCCGCCGGGTCGCAGGAGGGGCGCCGTGCCGCTGCTCTTGGCATCGCTCGGAGGTGTGCACTTTTCTTTCGGCGAGGGCCATCGCGGAGCATCCTTGATCACTTGGCGGAAAAAAACACGCACGAGACCGACAAAAAGCACAGGGAATCGACGTCCGAGCGATGGCCAGTGCAGCCCTCGCTCTGTATCCTTCCAGGGGAGGCCGGGGCAGCGTCAAAGGGGGGTGGACAGGCCTCAGAGGGGGGGGGGGGGACAAGGGTCGGAAACTGGAACAGATACATTGTCAGTGGCGGGCTGTTTTTTTCCATCCCAGGACTTTTTGGGGGTCGGGGACGACGTCGGGGTGGTGTGGTGTATACTTTTCCCCCGTTTTCCAAGGGAAACAAAGAAACATGTATACACCAGGATCCCGTATACACCAGGATTCGCGTTCCTGTGCGAATTTCAGCGCAGGGTCGGAAAAAGCGTCGGTCTATAGAGCTCGTTCCCCTAAATGGGCTGCGAGGTTTGAGGCCTTCGGACGCTTTCGTCGGTTCCTGGACGTTTTCCCGCCTCGGGAAGGCCTTCCAGCGGCTGCGCCTCGCCGAGGGCGTTCCTGGGGTGCCTGGAGCGTTCCGAGCGGCCGGCCCGAAGACCGAGGGCAGGGTGTAGGCTCAGGGAGGGATGAGTGGATCCGCAATGGCCCATTGACAATCGCCGCGGGGGGCCCGATGCAGTCGGGGCGCTGAAGAAGGAATCCTTCTCGTTGGGGAGGGGCGCGGCGTTCCTTGATTGTTTTGCAGTTTGCCCTGGGTTTCCCTTAGGGCCTCCATGGGAAGTCGAAGTTGGTCTCACGGGAAACGGGGGCCTCGTTCCTTATATTTCGGGTTCCTTTGGTCAACGCCCCGACTGTGCCCCGCCCCGCCCAGGACCGTGCGGCTCTGCCATCGGGGGCCTCTTGCGGATCTGTCGGCGATGCATCGCCGATTCCGGCTCGACTTCGGAGCCATTCCCGCCCTGACGCTCCCCCTCGGGAGATTTTCCCCGGGCGAACGGAGGGGATTGGGAAAGGGGGGGGGTACGAAATCTGCTGCATGCAGTTGGTTTTGGCCCCACCGAGGGGCCCATTCCTCGATACATGGGCGCCTCCCGGCGCCGGGAGGCGCCGGTAAAATCAGCTACGTGAGCTGATTCTCAAACCCCCCCTTTGCTATCCCCCCTTTCGCCCGACCCGATAGGGAGGCCTGAAAGTCGGACCACGACCTCTTCGAGTCGCGGGGGTCTCCGGGCGAAAGGTTGTCCATCATTTTCTGCCTCCCGGGGCCCTCCCCAGGCCCCCCCCCCGGGGAGGGGCCGAGACTTCGGGGGGTCCACGTGACGATGCGTGGCGCTGGAGGCAGGGGATCTCCCCATGGGCTGTGCAATTGGGGCCTTCGTGCGGGCTGTGCCATTGGGGCCTTCGGGGAGCCCCCTTTATGGGGCCACGAAGCGTATGAGGAGTGTGCCGAATCACGCCATGCGGACTTTGCCGCTGGGGCCTTTGATGGAACTCCTTGTGTTGCCACGACATGTATGAGGGGTGTGCCGAATTGGGTGCTGGTGCGCCATGCGGGTTGTGCCATCGGGACCTTCGGTGGGGCTCCGTATGGGGCACGAAGCGTGTGAGCGGTGTGCCGAATCGTGCGCGGGTGCGCCGTGTGGATTGTGCCATTGAGGCTTTCGGTAGAGCTCCGAACGGGGCCACGAAGCATGTGGCGGGTGTGCCAATTCAAATGCGGGTACGCCATGCGGACTGTGCCACGGGGGTCTTCGGTGGAACCACGAAACGTGTGCCGAATCGGGTGCGGGCACGCCGTGCGGAGTGTGGCACTGTGATCTTCGGTGGAGCTTTCCATGGGACAACGGAGCGTGTGAGGTGTGTACCGAGTCGTGTGCGGGCACGCCATGCGGATTGTGCCATTGGGGCTTTTGGTGGGAATCATTACGGGGCCACGAAATGTGTGGGGTGTGTGCCGAATCGTATGCGGGTGCGCCATGCGGACTGTGCCACTGGGGCCTTCGGCGGAGCTCACCATGTGGCCACGAAACGTGTGAGTCGGGTGCCGACATGGACATGCGGGGGGCAGAGGCAGGGAGGGGGGGAGTGAGGTGGGGGAGGAAGAGAAGCAGGAGAGGACGCGGGGCGCTGCCTTCCTAACACAAGGGCCCAGCACCACAGGATGGTGGGAAACAGACCATATCTTCTGAATAGACCCCAGGATGCCTGAAAGAGGCTTCTTTGGGGTCGGCACTGCGAGCGAAGTTCTGCGGGCACCATTGATGCTGCATGCCTGCTGGACGGACTTCGACCAGTCTCTCCCGACGCCTTGCTGTGTGTTCACCTCCCCGGTCCATGTGCTTCCTGGAAAAGGAAAAGGAAATGACGCCTCCACCACAGCTTTACGGCAAAGGCTCACGTCTCAATTTCTGTACGGGGAATTGGGTACGTTCCCGATCAACCGCAGATCGGCAGTTCAGTCTACATCGCGAATCATCTCTCTGATGCGGTTGTGTGCATACATCTTGCGATGTGCGTTTGTGGCACCGATGCTTACGTTGGATTTTTTGCAGGTCGCAAGCGATGCGTGTCTAATTTGGGCAAGCACACCCGTTGTGTTGCACGTCACGCCTTTCCATTCGCCTTGATATCTACGTTGCATTACTCACGCAACGTCTTTGATCAAGTCTACACGCTTTGAGGACCTCTTCCTTTCCACAACATCGAAATGCGTGAGGCGAGCGCCATTCGTGTGCACATGCCCGCGGCGCACCCAATTCCAACAGTAGCATCGTTCCAATGGCAACGATCCTTCAATACGGCTTTACATGTTTTTTTGCCAGAGCCCAAGATTGTTCTCTCATCGCATGTCGCCACAGGGTTTGAATTGGAGGTAGAAATGGACCACCGAAGAGTCCTCCAGAGGGATGGGTAAGCCTAGACCGCCTGGGCTGGCTGGGCCGGCACGGTAAGGCGGTGATTTCGCCTGATGGTTTTTTGCAGTTAATTCAAGAATCGGGCTCTCGCCTCAATGCAGGCATTTCCCAGCCGTTTGTGCGTTTAGGTGAGTCTGGCTCAAGGCCTTGCGCTGTGCAGCGTGGAACTGCGCCACCTTGCAGTGCAAGCCAGGCGCTGAGCCATGAGAAGCACCAGAGCGGGCCGGCTGCCGCCCGCGTCCAGCCGAAGTATCGTGAATACCTATGTTGCCCGCATGGCTTCGCAGCTCCCCGAGGACTTCACGTTCGCGACCTTGGTGCCGTGGGACTCGCCGCACAAGCCAGACAGGCTGATTACGCCGGACACTGCCCACGCGGGCCATTGGGACGCAAGGGAGATCGCGTCGTTGGTGTCTGGGTGCTCCTGCCTGCTGGTGCCGTGCACACTCGAAACAAAGTACGAGAAGCGCATGATACAGAGTTTGTTGCAGCAGATCGAGCCAAACAGCGACCTTTGTGTGGCCCTGCTGCAGCTGCTCGAGATCCCAGGCGACATGAGCAAGGAGTACGTTGAGATGGTCATGGCACGCCACGACGTGCTCCTCACTCTGGGGGCAGACGTTGTGATTCTCGACCCCAGCGACGATCAAGACCGGTTGTACGCAGAACTCGACCAAGAGCGGACGTGGCTCGATGCCAATGTCCAGCATGCACAGTGCATGATCGACGAGAGTGCGGACGCAAAATTACAGGCTGCGCTGGAGTACCACCACGAGCTGCTGTGGGAGAGCATGCCGAAAGCTATGATGCACGCGTTGCCCCCGGTCAATCACAACCTTGTGGAGACGGCTACCAGCGTTGGCGATTACCGGTTGATGCACCGCTTGAGCACAGTGAGTGGCAACGTGATCTTTGCGCGTCGGAGCGAGGTTGAGGAAGTCGTCCTCAAGGTCTATGACAAGTCAGACTATGTAACTGCTGGGGACGTGGAGAACATTGACCGCGAATTGCGTATCCTGAGGGGCGAGCTCCGACACCCGCACATCGTCCAGTGCATGTGCGTGCTCCATAGTTTCTCGCGGGTGTATTTGGCCCTCCAGGTCGGAGGCAAGAAGAATTTGAGCCAGCACCTCCTGAACCAGCCAGGGTACCGCCTCGATTTGCAGGATGCTGTGGACTGCACCGCTCAGATAGCAGGAGCGCTGGCCTTCTGCCATTCGCGGAACATCGTGCACAGGCAAGTGTCTTTGGATCACGTCGTGGTAGATGACCAGTCGGAAACGTCTTTCTGCCGCTTGGTGGATTTTTCCGCAGCGACGCGCTGTGTCGAGTCGACGCCGTCGACCACGCTATGCGGTGGTCTGCCGTGCATCGCCCCAGAGATGGTGCTGGAGGCGTCGTACTTCGCCAAGCCGGCGGACTGCTGGAGCCTCGGGGTTGTGCTCCTCGAGGCCGTTGGGGGTATGGGCTCGATGAGGCAGGCTGTTGGCTGGCCGGATGACGCGGAGTTGGAGCCCGCCGCCGCCAGGACCAGGAATTTCTTCTCCTGCGATGGCAGCCACGCCCGCGCGATGGCGGTCATGGGCGGCGTGCGCAGCCATGCGGTGCTGACCAGGCTCTCTGGGCTCCTCGAGCCAGAGCCCGCGGCTCGGGCCGTCGCGGGTTCCCCATTCCAGGCCTCGTAGGCCTGGGAGGGTGCTCAACGGGTCCGCGCTGCATATCTTTAGGGTGCGTGCGCACGTACACGCGCACACTCAATACACGATGATGTACACGCACATCTACGCACACGTAATACACGAAGATGGGCACGCACATAGGTGCGTACGCATACACACGCACACACCTACACGCTGGCCGCTGCGCGTGTAGAGTTGGCTTGAACGGGACTCTGCATAGTTTAGCCAACGCTTGGTTTTTTTTTCGTTGCTATCGCCTGCCCTGAGAGCAAACAGGTTGCCTCTGGTATTGCGCCCTTGCCTCCTAAGGTGGGACTTCTGTAAGTATTGAGACGCCGCCAACTCCCTCCGCGCACCTGCTTCCACCCCCTCCTTGTTCTTCTGTTTCTCACCCATTCAGGTACATAGCATTGCTTTCTCTGGCCTCCGTGAGGACGCCCGCCTGCTTGCGAGAAGCGTTGCAGGCCATTTGTCTGAAGTTTCAGAGCAGATCGAGATCGCGTCAGACACCCCTCGTACTGGGAGTGGCCCACGCACGCCCAGTATGAATATTATACTTGTTTTGCTGCGCGCCAGGATCCAGCGCAAGCAGCGCCAGCACACGAAGCCATGTGTTTAGGGCTACTTGGTTTCTGCAGCTCCCTGCGTCTTCGGATAGATGTCATAGGGGTCGTCGCAGCCAGGAGGTTGTAGAAACTGCGCGACAAGTTGTTGCAGTAGCAGTATCTCGCCCTCCGTCCGACAGGTGAAGATGGGCATAAAAAGCTTTGTACGCCATCTGTCATGATGACTCAATGGCCGAAGGCCCCCCACTGTAAATAAACATGGCTTGGCTGCTGCGCGCCAAGTTTCAGAGCAAGCAGCGCCAGCACACCAAGTACATGTTTGGGGCTACGTAGTTTCTGCAGCCCCCTGCTTCTTGGCATAAATGTCACGGAGGCGTCGCAGTCAGGAAAGTGCAGCAACTGCGTCAAAGGTAGCTGCAGCAGCAGTCTCCTGCCTTCCGTGCGACTGGTGCAGACGGGCGCGAGAAGCTGTGCGCGCCATCTGTCATGATGAGTGGGACCTCAGAGGAGCTTGAGATTCCATCAAACGCCCCAGCATTGGGAATGGCCGACGTCCCCCCCCATTGTACATAAACATGTTTGTTTGCTGCGCGCCAGGTTTCAGAGCAAGCAGCGCCAGCACTCGAAGTAGTCCGTTTGGGGCTACGTAGTTTCTCTAGCTCCCTGCTTCTTGTTATACATCCCACGGGGGTCGCTGCAGTCAGGCAACTGCAGGAACTGCGCGAAACGTCCGTGCGACTGGTGAAGACGGGCTTTCGCAACGTCGAGTCCTTGCGGTGGGGTTGCTGCCTTCTGGACGTGATGTGGTCATGTCGCCGCACATGCGCGAGTGCAGTGCCAATTGGCATGTGTTCGTATGCCTGCGCCGTCGGGTTTGCAGCCCTCGTGTGCAAGTGAACGGCCGTGCGTTTGAAAAAAAAGATTACGCTACGTGTTGGCCAGAACGACCACGATCCTTTGTTACTAACCTAGTTCTGTGCACATGGCCGTGCAACGACCCGTGTGTAGGCTACACCTTTCCTTGTTACAGCCAGACCGAGGTATAAGATCGATGGCGGTTCGGGGAGGGCACCCACATGTTCTTCGCGTTTGTTGGACGTTCTTCTGCATCCTGGTGAGGGGAGGGTACCCTTGGGTGTTCTACTTTCTGGCCGGCGGAAAGGGTCTCATGTTTTTGAAGGGTATTCTTCCAGCCTAGGTCCGACTGTAGCGTTTCGCTTGATTATGCGAACTACTAGCGGTAACATGTTAGCCAGTGTGGGCCCCAAATTGCTTGCTCCAGAATATTAGGGGTTGCAGTATCTGTATTGCTATATTTGTGATGCAACGTATGTGATGCAAGCTACGTGGTTAATGCTATGCTAAGCATTTTATGTGGTGTAAACCTTGTGGTGCAACCGTTGTTGTGCAAGCTATGTTGTGTAGTCGACGTGGTGCAATCTAGGTGGTGCAATCTAGGTGGTGCAATCTAGGTGGTTCACCTTGCCGAGCATGAGGTTGTCAATTTCATTGCTCTCCCAATCATCCCACCCACCCGGAACGTGCTTTGTAAAGCCCATGCGGCGGCGATTGTGATCATTGCTTGGCCCTGGCTGGCGCATCGCTGCGGCCGCGCTAGTGCGCGCAAGCTCGCTCGCAGAGCGGACAGCTAGTCTGGAGCGACCCACGCGGCCTCGGTGATTCTGACCGCTGGAGCCTTCCCAGCGCGCCTCACGGGCCGCGCTGACGCGCGGGCAATACAGTTCGAGGTGACGTGGGCGGGCGCGGTATCGCGGCGACGTCGACAACGGTAGGCAAGATGATGATGGTTACGATGCTGGTGACGATGGTGGCGATTACGACGGACAGGCCAACGACGGCGCAGATGCTGATCACGCTGGTGACGATGATGTTATCCACGCGTCGGCGATAAAACTGTGGGTCGGATTTCGGCATGCGCGCGCGGCCGATGGGTGCGAGTGGCCCGCATGGTGCGATTTGAAAAAGGATCGCCCCCCCCCAGCAAACGCGCACAATCAGTCGAATGATTTCGACATGCGCGCGCGAGAGGCGCGCTTGGTCGCAGTTGGTGAAAAGGTTTGAACATGTGGAAAAACGTAAGTCTTTCGAAAGGATTCGCAAGGCCACGCGCACACTTGTATGAAGCATGTTGCTGGCAATTCAGGGCGCTTGTCTGTATAACCTGGAGCTTACATCTTGAATCCCTTGTTTAAAGAAAGATGTCGACATACGCGCGCCACGACTCGCGCGTGTCGACGTTGTAGTTCATGTTGCATGGGACGTTTGGAAGTTCCCATAGATAAGCGAGTGCGCGCATTTTTTGATTGGCAGTGATGAGGGAGGCGAGGCCAGCCCTCGGATGGTATCGACTCGTGTTCAAGGTGGCCAATGGGGCAGGGCCGTATGCAAACTTCACGATCCCAAGGGGTAGTCGTCAAACCCGGGGGGGGGGCGGTCGATCCGAAACCTGTACGCTTCGCGTATCCCCACCAATACCGTAGCCCCCTGGCTCAAACCTTGGCTCAAGCCTCTGGCTCAAGGTCGCTCTGGCTCGAGGTTGCCGAGCTGGCCCGTCGCCCGCGCGCCTGGGGCCGGAGGTCGGCCCTGACCTCCGGCGTGCCCGGGGGGGAGTCGGGAAGGGGTGCCCCTTCCTGGCCCCCCCCCTCCCGTGCCATGGCGGGCGTTTCCCCGCGGCTGGCGGCTGGCGCTGGCGGTCCTCCGGGCGCGCCTGGTGCCGCCGCCGCTGCGCTGTCGCGTGCCGCCCGCCGCCGGGGCCAACGGCAGGCGCTGGCTGCCCGCTGGGCTGCCGCCGCTGCCCCGCACCCTGGGCCCCCTCCGCCGTCCCCACAGCCGGGGGGGGGGCGTGACGCTGCTGGCGCCGCCGCTGCTGGTGCCGCTGCTCGAACTGGCGTGCCCCGTGCTGCTGGCGGGAGCTGGGCTGCCGCCGCCGCGGCTGGTGGCCTGGCTGCTGCCGCCTCCTGCGCTGCGGACGCGGCGGCTGCCGCCGAGGCCTCCGCCGCCGCCGGCCTCTGGGAGACGGCGGCTGCGCTGGTGCGTGTGGCTGGCCGTGCCGCGGCCGCGGCCGCCGCCGCCGCCGCCGCGGCCGCCGCGGCCGCCTCGGGCGGGCCGCTGGCGGCGGCCGCCGCGCCGTACACTGGATCCCCGCTGCGCGTCATCGAGAACTCGCTGGACGCTCTAGCCCCAGCGGGCCCCTGGGACCCTGCTGGCTTCACAGCGGATGGCAGCGCCGCCCGCCGCCGACGAGCTGCAGCACGGCCGCGCGAGCATGCTGGCGACCATGTGCTTCATCGTGCCCGAGATCACTGGGCAGCTGCCTGGCCAACCTGGCGACGACGACGCTGACGACCGACGCGACGACAACCGATATTTACCTGCTGGCATCGTCGTCCCTTCTGAGGCCCCCGGATCCCGCCTGGAGGTTCTCCCTGAGCCCAGCGTCTCTGGAATCTTTCGGTCGGCTCTCTCTGAGGCCCCTGGCGCTGACGCGAGAGATCTCGATACGCACAACGACATCTCGGAACATAGCAGCAGCAGCAACATACCACCCCCCGCATCGTTGGCAGATGACGACGTCCCAGAGGGGATTCGAGAGGCGGTAGCTTGCAGTGATCAGTGTGCAGCCCACACTGAGAAACCCCCCTTTCAGCAGTACCAGCAGGGCAGAGGAAAGGAGAGGAGTTGCCTCGAGCAGGGAGGTGGGCAGCACACAGAGGAGAGCTGCAGACACCAGCAGAGCAGCAGCAGCAGCAACAGGGCTGCAGCAGCCGCAGCAGCCGGGCAGCAGCAGCAGCAGCCGCAGCAGCAGGGCAGCAGCAGCAGCTGCAGCAACAGCCGCAGCGGCAGCAGCAGCAGCAGCAACAGGACCCATCAGCAGCTGCATCAGCAGCAGCAGGGCAACAGCAGCAGCAGCAGCACCCCGCAGGGCAGAGGAAATGAGGCAGAGGTCACGATACCACCCCCCGCATAGATGAAAGAAGATGACGTCCAAGAGGGGCATCGAGAAGAGGTAGCCTGCAGTGATCAGTGTGCAGCTCACACTAACAACTCCCCCCTTCAGCAGTACCAGCATGGCATCAGCAGTCCTCTGGGGGCGCCACACACCCAGCAGGGAGACCACGGAACAACCATCCAGACGCAGGACAGCGAAGCCATCCACTGGCTCGTCGGGAGAAGCCCCTTCGCGCCTATTCGCCCCCCCTCCCCTGTCAGTGAACTTCTTATGGACGGCGAATCCCAGGCGCCCTCTCCAGGCGTCCAGGGCACTACTGGCAAAGCAGCTCGTGCCCCGGCTATGGAAGCTGCGCCGCCGTGCGCACACGCGCCCGGCACAACCTGCGGCACCCCAGAGACCGGAGAGAGTCCTGCGCTGACCAAAGGGGGCGCACCTGGGAGCGACGGCGGGCACAGGCCCGAAGGTGAACTCCAGCGGAAGGGGCCCTTCCCCACGTGCCACAAGGCTGCGTCTGCCCTGGCCGCCGGATGCGACCCGACCCCCGCC